TATGCTAGAAGTCACAGCTGAGTGACACAGATGCTTTCACAGAAGTCTGAAGAAAGAAAGGGAGTGGGCTTCTGATGGATGGGGAGGCAGGAGCCCCTGATTTAGGCTAGATACCATACTCTGGGCTTCCTAACTCATTAGAAAATGGTAAACAGTGTGATTACCCTAGAGGAGTCCCCTTTGTTTAGGGTTGTGGGAGAAGGAATGGCTGCGGTAAGTACACTTAACCATGGTTTCTCCTCCAGCCTTGCAAGATGAACCTTGCTCTATCTACCCCCATCCCCCTCCATCGTCCACCTCCATCAGAGCAGCGGGACAATCAAAGCACCCGTCTGACATGACAGAGACCACTGTTCGTAAAGGCAGGAAGAGCCCTATGCTGATGGAGAAAGCTAGGATCCCTCGGTGTGGTTGTAGGCTGTCTTATTCTGGAAGGGGTGTGTCTGTCCTTGGGAGAAGTGCCAGGGGATAAAAGCACTCATAAAAGAACTGGCAGGCTCCCAGTTCTTGCCATGAAGAAACTTGAATGAGAAAGGCCAGTCTCACCCTGGCCAACAGACAAGAGCACATCATTCCAAATGCATCTACTGCCCCAAACTGGGCTGGTAATGCTGGGCAGCACCCACCTGGCTGAAGCCCCAACTTCCTGTGGACCAGCGGCCAGAAGAGGACTCAGCATGGTAGAGGCAGAGAGCAAAGGAAGGGTGTGCTCACCATGAGCTCTAGGATCTACGCAGGTGGGAGACTTGGGGAAGGGGTGTCCAGAGGCGTAGGCATGCAGGGGCTTCAGGGGAAGGCCACAGGGAGGCTCTCCCTGTAAATGCTTAAGCTACTAAGTGTTTTGACTTGTACAACTCAAGAGGAAATCTCTCAAATTCTAATTCATTCTCTCTTCTGTATAAAAAATTACCTTCCAAAACTGGCACAACTTTCAGTGAAGCTGCTTGCTCTAGCCTGCCCCACCCCAGCATACCAGGTATAGAAGATGATGGGCAGGTGCCAAAGGGGATGGGGGGGCTCCTCATGGAGGAAGACCAGGCCGACAAGGGAAACTATGTCCCATGCCACCACTTGATGCCATCAAGCTGGCTGTGGTGGTTTGTTTGGTTGTTTGTTTTGATAATATAGATCTTTAAAATATTCTCACTTTAGAAGTTTGTACTTTCCTGAACTTGTGAGGCTGAGGGTCTTTTTACAGCAATCAAATATTTGCATTGCCTTTTCTGTCAGCATAATGTAGCCTTTCCCTAAGTCTCCAGTGGATGTTTAGTTTTTGAATGATGAGAGCTCTTTACATATGCCGGAAACTAGTGCCTTGGTGTGTATTCAAATGTTTTTCTCCCTGAGTCCATTGGTTTTCTTACTTAATGTATTTCCAGAGAAGTTATACTTCTGGGCATTTCAACACCAACCTGTCTTGTCATTTGTCAGTTCTATATCCAAGTGCTTGGAATGTTTTCATATATATACTTTCCAAGGTTAGCTCTCTCTCTCTCTCTCTCTCTCTCTCTCTCTCTCTCTCTCTGAAAGAAGGAAGAGTCTTTGTTATCATTTACAGTAGTGGATGCAGTTACTGTTGCCCCAGACCTTGCTAAAGTCTTAAACTGAAAGTCCATCATAGTTTGATATTCTCTGCCCTGTTAACAGATGCATTTCAAACCGATCGTATTAATTCCTTTAAAAACGTTTATTATCATTAGATGTTAATTATAATAATGGATTTCCTTATGATATTTCGTACATGTATGTAATGCATTTTATCCCTGAACAACAAACTATGATGGCGAGGTGAATTTACCCAGGTCTCGGGAAATGGGATCAGTGCTCAAAAATTCCTATCTTGCTTATCTTTTCCTGTCAGTAAACATGAATTGTATATCATTGAACGTAATACAAAATAGCATGACTCTAAATAGCTAAAAAGAAATATGAAATCACAGAGTAGAGTTAAAGACAGCCTAAAACACAGAAGGGTGTGCTAACACACCCATGAATTGTCAGTCTCAATGTGACAGACTTTAATTCTCTTGACATAGACCTAGAGATTCTAGCACAATGCAAATCAGAATCCCAGCATGCTTTGAGGGAGATTGGGGGTTAGCAAACTGACTTTAAATTTCATCTGGAAGTGTACAGAGTAGAGGCTAGCACAGTTAGGGTTCTGCAGAGAAACAGAACCAATGGATATATGTGTCGATAGATAGAAATCTGTGATAAGGAACTGGCTCACAGGCCCAAACCTGCAGCCCTGAATGACAGAGCATGTGAGTATGCACGTCGTGGCACGTGTGTGCAGTTCAGAGGACAACTTTTGGGAGTCAGTTCTCTCCTTCTACCACGTGGGTCCCAAGGATGGAACTCAAGTCATCCGGCTTAGCAGCAGGTACCTTTACCACTGAGCCATCATGCCCAGCCAAGGACAGTTTTTTTCTGTTCTATTCAGACCCTTCAACCGATTGCATGAAGCCCACACACATTACTAAGACCAGCCTGCTTTACTCAAAGTTCACTGGCTTAAATGTGAACTTTCTGCTGACAATCAGAACTAGCCATCACAGTAGCCAAGGCAATCTAGAACGACAAAGCGAGGGGCTGACACGGTAAGATGTCAAGACATATTTTAAAGCTATAAAGAAATGAGGTGTCGACACAAAGACAGGCAAGCGGATGACTGGAACAGAAACAGAGCCCAGAGGCAGACACAGGCATGCACGCTCCAGATCGAGGACAGAAGTGAAATGCCATCTTCAGTAATCATATTAAGCTAACTGGGTAACAGGCAAAACTCACCTAGATGTAAAGAAATATTTTAAAGAAAATAAAACACATCTTGGAAAAGGTAAAACATGACCAAATTTCTTCCTGGTTCCACAGTTGGGCTCAGTTTCTCCCATCTTCCTGCCCATTTGCTCTGATTCCTGAACTCGGTCGGGTGGGACCTTCATGTTTGTCTTTGCAATGTTCCCTACCCTGTCTAGCCAGTCTGTCCCAGTCATCGTGCTCTACTTAGATCCAGGGGCCAAGGTGCTGTTTCCAATCCCAGCATTTACCTGCTGCAGGCCATATCACCCCCTTGCTCACAATCTAGTCTTGCTGCTTAGTCTGCTTGAAATAGCCATTTCCTTACCTGGAGTACCTTGCAGACCACTTCCTGAGCCTTTGTCACAGCCCGTGTCCTGCCTTGTCTTCAACACAGATGGAGACACTGCCCCCGACCCCTGTCATTGTCATCATGTGGTCTCCAAACATCCCCGAGTTTCCGCTCTGTCTTCACTTACCCTGCTACCCTGGTCCCTCTCCTCCAGCATCCCGTCTCCCTGTTGCTCAGTACCATGGAGTTGCTGAGCAAGCACTCGGATGGCTCAGTGCCCCTCCCCCAGCCTCCCAAGGCAAGTCCAGTGCCCCTTGTTTGTGGTCTGGAATCACCCCCCTTCCACCCCAGCTGATGCCTCTGAACTTAGAACCTGGGACTTGGAACAGGCTCCCTCTGCTGGAGAAGGACAGCATTGCCAGGCAGTACTCCACTGTCAAACCACAAGGAGCAACCCCAGAGAGACGGCAGGGCTTCTCCAAGACTTTGTTGTTATGCCCTCTGGAGAGTAAATCTTTCTGTGTCAGGTAGCAGAGAGGGGCATCTTGGTCAGGAGACATAACCGTATGTCAGCCATGAGGTGGACAAAGGCCAGCTAGAGGACAGGGGCCGACTTCTGTTGTACATCTATCTCTGCCTCCCAGGGAGGCTTCTGGGCCTCCAGTGGGCCCTCAAAGCTTCTGCCTCTTCTGCAAAGTGAGCCAAACTCAGCCAAGGCTGGTAACAGGCAGTGTGACCATCAGAGCTAAGGACAGCTGGGTCACAGTTCTCACTGTCACCCACCTGGTTCAGACCACACCTCACACCTCAGCTTCTTCATTTGTGAAATGGGGGTCAAGGTCTCTAGTTGACAGTTGCAGGGAGACACAAATAAAGTGTCCTATGAAATGCCTGACAGGGCCGGAGTGGGGCTCAGTCCAGTCAGGAAGCCCTGGTCTGGCTCTCTAGTCCCATATAAAACTGGGCGGTGGTGGTACACTCTTGTAATCCCAGCACTCCGAGAGGTTGAGGCAGGAGGATCAGGAATTCCAAGTCATCCTTGGATACAAAGTGAATTTGAGGCCAACGTGGGCTACCTGAGAGTCTGTCGAAAGAAGGAAGGAAAGAAGGAAGGGAGGGAGGAAATGAAGAAGGAAGGGGGGGGAAATGGCTGACATGGTCTGTACATGTCTATATGTGTTCTTGTGTGAAGTCAAAGAATCACACTGAGTTTTGTAAAGGAAAAAGATAATGATTGGGCCTTCAGAGAAGTCCAGGGTGCTGATCTCATAGGCCCCCTCCTGCTTCATGACTGAACTCCTGTGAAGTCAGTAAAGCAGAGATAAGGAGCTGGTCAAGCCAGGTGGGCACTACTCTGATTCTAAAGTCAAGGATAGGGCTAGCTAGATGCTCCCAGCCTCCCATCCTGACTCTTTTCTATGATCTCAAATGTCCCAGAGTGGCTGGCTTGTTTTTCAGGGTAGGAAGTTTGGCTTAGGATGTGTCTGGACCACCTACCCCCAGGGCCAGGGTCAGCTGAGTGGAAGGGACCCTGATGGAGTCCTACTGCAGAGGCAGAGATGAAAGCAGTTCCCTGCAGTCTGGGCAGGGAGGTAGGAGAGGCAGGGCCCACCTGGGCAGGGGTGCAGAGAGAGTGCTGCAGAGGACCAGCCTAAGGGAGTGGTCTATTAATCTTGGGTTGGGGGGGTCACCTCGGTGGCTCTGTGATGGTGGCTCCCCATAAATGGGACAGCTCTGTACCCAGAGAACTGCACTCTAGGCCACCCCGCCCCGGTCCAGGTGATTTCTCTCACTAGACTCTTGGCCCTGCCCCTGGGGTGAGATCCCTGCTCTGAGGGAGGATTGGCGGCAATTTAAGGAGGCAGCCCACCTGATGGGGCTTTGCACCTGGCCATGCCAAGGTATTGCTATGGCCTCCCAAGCTGCTGTGCCTGTCGGGCCGCTCCCATGCAGCCTCTGGTACTTACGGCCTGGCCTCTATGAGGATGAAAACAGGAGGACTTGGGTGGTTGCAAGCCTGGAGATTTCCACCTCTCGGCCCTATCAGAACCAGGTGGGCACTACTCTGTGAGTCCTGAGGCTCCAGAGAGGCTGTGAGAAGACTGACTACTATCCTGTGGGCCAGGATGTGTGTATGTTTGTGTGTGTGTGGTGTGGTGTGGTGTGTGTGTGTGTGTGGTGTGTTTGGTGGGGGGTGTTATCACTGTGTGGGAAAACAGCTCATACTGGTTCCTGAGTGAAACTATGTCCAAGCCTAATTGCCCCCCACTGCTTGGAGATGCCCCAGCACAAGCTCATCTGCGGATGATGTGGTGGTTTGTGGTAAGGCCTGAGACACAGGCAGCTAGAAGGCCTAGTCAGAGGGAGCATGCTGAAAAGCTTATATAGGATACCTAGTAAGCTGGGCTTTGTGGGGAGAGTTCTCTGGGTCAGAAGAAGCCAGGCTCAGCATAAGCAATGACCCTGGGACCTGGAAGTGGCAGGTGGACCAGCAGTGTGAATCTGATTAATTTGCAAAAGAGAACACCTCACTTGGTCCTACTGCTGGTCATTCATTACCTCATATCCTCCGTACCTCCACCCCCAACTTAAATGGGAGAATCATTTAGCAGATAACTGACTGGGCTTGAGTAGGAAATTGTTTTTATTTTATGTGTACGAGTGCTTTGCCTGCATGTATGTAACTGCACCCGTATCTTGCAGTGACAGAGAAGGTCAGAAGAGGACGTCGGATCCCCTAGAACTGGAGTTATGGACAGTTGTTAGCTGCCATGTATGTGCTGGGAATTGAACCGGGGTCCTCTAGAACAGCAGTCAGTGCTCTTAACAGCTGAGCCATCTCTCCAGTCTCCCTAGATTCTACTTTTAAAAAGCCCTCCCCTGGTGATACCAATAATTACCCAGATTGGAAACTATCCTGGGCTTCAACTTTAGCCCAACCCAAACTTGAAGGCTAAAATACTCCATGCAATACTGTAAAAAGCTTTTCTAAATATTAAAACTGCCACTATAGGGACAGGAATGTACTCTAAGGGCAAAATCCTTGACTTAGCAGCAAAGAGACCCTGGGTTCCTTCCCCAGTACTGGGGTGTGAGTGTGTGGAGGGTCATCTGTAGCACATTTTAAAACAATCTTCAAATGGATTATTAAAGTCTTTTTTTATACCTGTGCCAAATAAAGCCTGAAAAAAGTTCTAGACCAAATATTTCCAATTTGAAAACAAAACCCTAGGGCTGGAGAGATGGCTCAGCAGTTAAAGAGCACTGACTGCTCTTGCAGCGGACCTGGGTTCGATTCCCAGCACCCACATGGCAGCTACAAACCGTCCTTAACTCCAGTTCCAGGGAAATCCGAAGTCCGCTTCTGACCTCTGTGGCATTGCACGACATGGGTGCCCTCACATACGCAGGCAATACACTCATACACATAAAATAAAAATAATAAAATATTTTTTAAAAAAGTAGAAAAGTGTCGGTGTAAATGTAAATCAGGGCCACTTCCATGGAAATCAGCATGGAAAGTACTCGATAAACTCAAAATAGAGTTATGTTCCATCAGGCAACTCTGCGTCTGGGATCAAACCCCAAACAAGCAGCCTCTTCCTCGCCTCTCCCCAAATGGTTTTCCTTTCTACTTTTATGACACACGCTCTTCTATGACCTTGTGTCTCTCGACAGTTGAATGGGGTACCGGAAAGATGGCTCAATGTGACTGCTTTCCCCCTGCAAGAGTAAGGGCTTGGGGCTGAAGAGCTGGTCAGCAGTTAAAAGCACTGGCTGCTCTTGCACATAATTAAATATGAAATTTTGGGGGGCAGGGCTGGTGGGATGGCTCAAAAGTTAAGAGCCACTGGCTGCTTTTGCAGAGGACCTGGGTTTGGTTCCTAGCACCCACATGGCAGCTAACAACTGTTTGTAACTCCAGTGGATTTCACGCCTTCCTCTGGCCTCCATGGGCATCGAACAACATGGGTGCACTTACATACATGCAGGCAAAACACTCATTTACATAAAAATAAATTTTAAAAGCTTATAAAATTTGGTTGGACATGATAGCATACACCTTTAATCCCTGTACTCAGGAGGCAAAGGTGGGCAGATCTCTGTAAGTTCAAGGCTAGTTTGGTCTACATAGTGAGTTCCTGGCTGGCCAGGTCTACACAGTGGGACCTTGTCTCTAAATAAATAAATAAATAAATAAATAAATAAATAAATAAATAAATATTTTAAAATCTTAAAAAATAATGGCCTGAGTTTGTATCCCAGCACTGTGTGTATCTTTGTGGCCAGCAACTCTAGTGCTGTGATGGAGGCAGTAGGGCAGAAACAAGAGGATTTCTGGGGCTTGCTTGGCCATCCTAGCTCTAAGCTCAGTGAGAGACCGTCTTAAGCACATAAGGCAGAGAGAGATGGAGCAGACACCTGGACCCTCCTCTGGCCTCCTCATGGAGGCACATGTATGCATGACCATATACAAGTGGATGAGTGTCTCCACATATAGTCACAGGCTGGGAACAAGACCTCCTGAGTGTGATCTCAGGCAAGGCTCAGCAGGCTTTCCAGTCAGGGGCCTCAGAGGAAAGCCTTTCATTTCACAGGCCCCAGGGACTTAGGAACACTTTCTTTCTGCCACTGTAGTATAAAAACAGCCAGAGATAACAGTAGTTTACAACAAAACTTTATTTACAAAAGCAGGGGCAAGCCTACAAGGGGACATGGCCCCTTCTTTGCCCATCCCCCTCAGCCTTCCCCAGTCTAAAGTCAGAGTACACATGGGAGGTGTTTTGCTACACCCTTTGCCATCTCATGAAACAAGAAAATCAGGAAATGATCAGCCACAGATGTACAGGTGAAAACTTACATCCTTAGCTCACTAAAAACCTTTCAGGAAGACAGCAGGCATCGGAAGGAAGTCGTGACACACTTTGGCCTTCCATGAGAACACTTGGCCCTTGGTTATGTTTTACAGTCATTTCCTTTCACTTTGTGCCTTTCTGTGTTGGCTCAGTTTTATGTTTTGTGTTTATTAAAGGCATATGAAGCTCACCATCAAAACTGCAATATATTTCTCATGGGAAAAGCCATTGCCCTAGACAAGCCTAGACCAGAGTGTATGTAGGGTGTGTGTGTGTGTGTGTGTATGTGTGAATGTTTGGCGTGTCCTGCTCCACGGTTCTCTGCCTTACTCCCTTGAGACGGAGCCTCTCACTGAACCTGGAGCTAGGTTGACAGCAGCAAGCCCCAGCAATCCTCCTGTCTCTGTTTCCCATAGCACTGGGGTTACAGGTACATGCACAACCACATCTGGCTGTTTATGTAGGTGCTGGTGATTCGAACTCAGGTCCTTATGTTTGCACAGCAAGCACACTTAATCCATTGAGCCATCTACCCAGTTTCTGTCTTAGTTTTCAAAAGGTTTTTTTTTTTTTCTTGGTCTTTTTGAGAGAGCATCTTCCTGGAGGCCCAGCTGGTCTATAACTCACTATGTAGACCAGGCTGGCCTTGAACTCACAGAGGTCTGCCTACCTCTGCCTCCCAAGTGCTGGGGTTATAGGTGTGTGCCACCATGCCTAGCAGTTTTCAGAAGGATTTTTTTAATGTGTATGAGTGTACTGCCTGCATGTGTGTAATTGTATCTGTATCATGCAGAGGTCAGAAAAGGGTCTTGGATCCCCTGGAACTGGAGTTATGGATGGTTGTTGTCTGCCGTGGGGGTCCTGGGAATTGGATCTGGGTCCTCTGCATGAGAGCAGCTGGTGCTCTTAACCACGGAGCCATCTCTACAGCTCTTCAGGAGGATTTTTAAAGCTCTGGAAATGGCTAAGACAGAGCCCCAAGGGGCTATTTAGCGCCAGGGTAAGGTGCTTCCAGGCTTGAGACGGCTACATTGTGCACGGTGTACTGGAGTGAGGCAGGAAAGGTTAGAGGGGAGAACTGTGCCAGAGGGCTAGAAGAGCACTAGACATCCTGGGTCCGGGGGAAGCCAGTGTTGGTGGCAAGGCTGTGTCTGGGCTGCTGAAACATGTACCCCAACCCTGACACTTGGAGCAAACATGCTGAGCCAGCACTTAGCCCACACTGATGCAGGCAGCATGGCTGACAGGACCTTGATGCACAGCTGCCCTCTGCTCCCTTCAGCCTGACCCCTGCATCACCACAGTCACAATCCACTTGCGCCATGTGACAGAGTTCTGCCAGGAGTTGCTGTCCTTCAGTGAGGCGAGCTTTCAGAGACTACCCATCATGTGGCAGCTATACCCTGGGGGAGTCTATCGGGGAACAGACTCCCATTTCTGGCAACTGATGGCCCATGACCAGGCAAGTGTGGTGGCTCCAGGGGACAGCAGTAGCCCATGTCAATTGTTGTCCATCCTGCGTCTGTCCCACCCCTGGGGATTCTTAGCTCCTTCTTCCTCTCATCCAAACCTTCCTTCAAACAGGGTCTGCAATGGGGGATTTGTAAGAGGGAGGGAACATGAATGTATCGTGCACACACGTGGGCATACCTGCTGAATTGGGTGGGTGTGAAACTGGTGGGCGAGGAAGTGAGGTCTCCCGCAGGCTACAGAATCCACAGACCTAGGTATTCACCTGTCTGGAGCCCATTCCTGCTGTTCTGGGCCTGCATGGGCCATAGTATTGTAACTGGCTGGAAGTATGTTCAGGGTTCTGACTGGCGCCTCCTCTCCTGCAGATTGGCACCAGAGATCGACTGATTCTAAGACATCAAGAGATTAGCTGAGGATGGGAATGGCTGGCTGCTGGCTGGTATGTTAGGGCCCATGTCCCTTACTGCTGAGGTCAGAGAGGCACCGGAAGACCTTTCCTCTTTGAAGGAAGACCGCTCTGCTGCAGTTTACTAATAATTGTTTCCTTTTCCTTTTTCAGGTCTTGCCAGCCCTGCTCTGCCTCTGCCCCTCACACCCATGGGCACCCTCAGTGAGAACTTTGTACACACATTCCTGTTTGCTCCCCATTTCCAGGCTGGCAGTTCCTCCTGTCTTGCTAAGATCTGCTGTTAGACTGTCTTGCTTCCATGAGCCTAGCCTGGCTGTGCCCTGGGCTTTCTTCCCTACTGGCTACAAGCTGTGGCTTCTTTTTCTCCCTTTGAACCCCCTCATACTGACATTCCAGATGTCCCTTCCCAAGGCCCCTCCTCTCCATGACTCTGCCCTGGTAGCCCACAGGCACCGTGGCACACTTCTCCAGCCCATCCAGTCCCTTGGCTCCTGAAGTGATACTGAATCAAACAGATGCCCCACCTCCAGTTCTGTTTAATGAATTAAACATGAAGGCTCCTGGTCTGATCTGTGCTGACCTGGTTTGTCTTTACCAGGGTTCTAGTGTAGAAAGCAATGGCTTGCCCCCAAACATTATCGGAACACTTGACAACCCCTTGTGCACTCTTCCACACTGGGGGGAGTGGTGAACAGTTGGTTTCAGCAGCAGGGTACCTGTGGAAGGACTAGAAGGTGAGTCAATGTGGGCACTGGGTGAGGCTTTGCTGAGAAAAGTCAAAGGTGTGGAGAGCTTTCCATGAACAGAGGTGTCTGTGTGTCATCACAGGAGACACAGGATACAATATGGGTCAGACAGAGAAGTGTCCCTCTATGTGAGACACCAGATGATGGCGGGAGCAGCAGGAAGGGGCAGAGGCCAGGTACTGAACAGGCCTTTCTTCCTGTTGAACCAAAGGAAGGGCAGTCTCACATCATTCACAAGAAGAAATCCCAACAGATGGAAATGAAAGCTTTACAGAGAGCATTTGTAAAAGCATTTATAGGGCTGGGACTGTAGCTCAGTTGATAGAGTGCTTGCTTAGCATGCACGAAGGCATGGGTTTGATCCCTAATACAGCGTGGTGACACATGCCTGTGATCGCAGCACTCTGGAAGTAGAGGGCAAGAGGATCAGGAGTTCAAGGTCACCCTTGGCTCTGTAGGGAATCTGAAACCAGCCTGGGCTATGAGATGAGATCGTCTCCAGACACTACCATGAGTCTGGGCTTGGGGTGGGGTGTGGAATGCCCCCAGCTGAGAACACTATCCTTGAGGTATACTGGCACATGTCAGCAAGAGGTCAGAACCGGGAGGGTGCTCATAGCTCCTTGGTCTGCGACAAGGGTGTAGGGGACTAGGTGACATGCAGCATGCCTTCAAGTCCTTGATGGTGCCTGAAAGAGCTAGGGAGGCAGGAGAGCGATGTCTAGACTCAGGAAAAGGAAGTCTGGCTTTTCCATCACTGGAAAAGCATGCTTGTGGGCTGCCCAATGTTCAGTGTATGTGTGCATCCCCACATCTCCCTTCTTACATGGCAAACTTGGGAGCAGGTGTAATGTGGAAGGATAAGCAGACCTCTAGGGTGTGTCTTCAGGCTGGGTTAGGTGCCAACACCCAGACATTTCAGGATCTGAAGGAACTTACAAGCACTCAGAACAAGGGACTCTGACAGTTAATCCGCCTTGCTAACTTGACTGGGTTTGGAATTATTTAGATTGTAGAGGCCCACCACTGGGTGTGTCTAGGGGGATTTCCAAAGAGGACTAACTGTAGAAGAGCTACCTTCAATGTTGGTATCACCCTCTCCATGGACTGCATGTGTCCACAGGGTCCAGAACAGGGGAGAGGAGAAAGTGGAAAGCCGGCTGAGATGCAGCAGCCCCCCTTTGTTGATTCCTGGTTGGTCACGAGGTGAATGGCTGTCTTTTACTGCAGGCTCCTACTGTCAGGATGTCCTGCCCAAGTGATGGTGTTACCCAACCTTCGGGGTTATACTACAGAACACTTGACAGGTTTTTGGCAGCTTGACACAAACCTAGACACACCTAGGAAGAGGAAACCTCAACTGAGGAATTTCTTCCATCAGAGTGGCCTATGGGGATGACTGTGGGGCACTGTGCTAGATAAGCTTTAGTTGTCAACTTGACACACCTGGGTAGAGGGAACCTCAGTTGAGAACTTGTCTCCATTAGACTGGCCTGGGGCCATGTCTGTGGGGTATTTTCTTTATTGTCCAGTGATATGGGAGGGTCCAGCCCATTTTGGGCAGTGCCACCCTTGGACAGGCGGGCCTGTGTTGTATAAGAAAGCAGGCTGGGGCTGGAGAGAGGGCTCAGCGGTTAAGAACACTGGTTGTTCTTGCAGAAGACCCGGGTTCGAATCCTAGCACCCACATGGCAGCTAACAACTGTAACTCCAGTCCCAGGGGATCCGACAGCCTCTTCTGACCTCCGAGGGCATTGCTCAACACGGGTGCTCTTACCTACATGCAGGCAATACACGAGTACACATACAAAAAATAAAATTAAAAAAAGAAAGCAGATTGTTGCTGGGTGTGGTGGCACACGCCTTTAATCCCAGCACTTGGGAGGCAGAGGCAGGTGGGTCTCTGTGAGTTTGAGGCCAGCCTGGTCTACATAGTGAGTTCCAGGCGAGCTGGGATTACAGGGAAAGCCTGTCTCAAAACAAGAAAGCAGGTTGAGCACAGGCCAGGGGAGCAAGCCAGTAGGCAGCATTCCTCCACCGTCTGTGCTCCAGGTTCCTGCCGTGATTTCTTGCTTTGGCTTCTCTTGATGAACTGTAAGCCAAACAAATCCTTTCTTCCACAAGTTAGTTTTGGTTAGTGTTTTTATCACAGCAATAGAAAGCAACTAGAACTAGCATTTTCTTGATTGCTAATTTATGTAGGTGGTCCCAACCCACTGTGGGTGGTGCCATCCCTAGACCTGGGCTGTATAAGAAAGGTAGCTTTAGCCAGGAAGCAAGCTAGTAAGCAGTGCTTCTCCACAGTCTGCTTCAGGTCCTGCCTCCCGGCTCCTTCCCCGACTTCCTCAGCAATGAACCTGCAAGTGTTGGATGAAATAAACCCTTTTCTGCCCAAGTTGCTTTTGGTCAGTATTTTGTCATAGCAACAGAGACGCAAACTAGGGCAATACCTCTTCAGAAACAAACTGGGAAGTCCGGTGTGGTGGTGCACACTGGTCCCAGCACTCTGGAGGCAGAGGCAGGCAGATGTCTTCTGTGAAAGCGAGGTCTACATAAAAAGTTCCAGGCCATTTGGGGCTACAGGGAGACCCTATCTCAAACATAAGCAAACTGGGAGACAGGGATTGGTAGAGGAATAGTTTTATTCAAGTCTGGGCTTAGGGAAAATGGGGCAGACACTGTCTATTTTAAAGGAACAAAGCTAGTAATATATTATTTAGAGGCAACTGCTAGACCATAACAGAGCCAGTGGCAGAAGATAAGGACTGGATATGTCTGTTAGTTCATTGCTGTGACCAAAATCCCAGATGGAGGCCCGTGGTAGCATGTGCATGAAGCAGCTCAGGACATGCCAGGAAGCAGAGAAAGGAAATGGATGCTTGTTTGCTCCTTTTCACCCTTTTATCCAGTCTGGGCCTCTCAGTCCACGGGATGATATACCTACATTCAGGTTGTGCTCTCCAGCTCAATCAATCTTCTCTGAAAACACCTTCATAGATACCCCAGAGGTGTACCTTGATCTCTAAGTGATGATAATCTAGGGAAGCGGGACTAGCCGTCACAGGATGATTGGAGATGAGTAGCTGAATCTTCTATTGTCTCCTATGGTGGAGACTTGAGAGGTGTTATGGGGAGAGGAGCAATTTATTTTGATTTATTTTTAAATTTTATGTGTAAGAATGTTTTGCCTGCATATATGTAAGTGCACTGTTTGCATGCATTACCCTCAGAGGCCAGAAGAGGGTGTTGGAATCTTTGGAACTAGAATTATAGATGGTAGCTAGATGCCATGTGGGTGCTGGGATCCTAACCCAGGTCCTCTGCAACAGCAGCTAGTGTTCTTAACTGCTGAGCCATCTCTCCAGTCCAGGAACATGTTATTTATTAGACAAAAGCTGCCATACAGGCCTTGTGCATTCTTATAAGGGAAATAATTTCAGAATACCACATCTTTAAACCTACAAGAGAATTCAGCAAGGTAACTGTTTATAAATGTAATGTAAAAACTCTCAACTTTTCTTGCAAACACAGAAATGGAATGTGTGTTTGCAATGGAAGTACATCTATAACACTTCTGTGAAACAAATTTTAAAACATTACAAGACACTAGTAAATAGGTCTTAAATGGAAAGATGCCATTTGTATATATAAATTTATACATATAAATTTAATGTATAAACTCTCAACTTTTCTTGCTAACACAGAAATGGAATGTGTGTTTACAATGGAAACACATCTATAACACTTCTGTGAAACAGATTTTTTAAAAAATTATTTACTAACCATATAATTAGAAGAAGCATTTCATTACTACAACATTTGACATATTCAATAAAAATTTCCAGAGCTAAGATGCATCTCTTTCAAAATTGGCTGTAAATTTTTAGGTTTACAGTTGAATTAATAGTTATACAATATTGTACTCTGTATAAACCCTATAAGACATAAAATTGAGGTTTTAATCTTTAAAAAAATTTCT